TGCCCGATGTATGATCAATATCCTTCACAATCAATTTAGCAACTGTGAAGTTTGTACCTAATCGAAAAAATATATATTTTGTGTGATACAACTTTAATATATGTATGAATTATACAAATTATATTGTGTACTTATATATTTTGTAGTACTTTAGCATTTGATTTAATATTTTATTGATTTCTTACTACTAAAAGTTCTCAACTGATTAATTATTTTTTAATATATTAAATTCGTTATTATAAAAACTATATTGGACGCGGGACAAACATTTACGACACAATGTAGTCATCAACAGCTTTTATTGTTTACCTTTACTACAGATATACCTTTAATACAGATATTAAATTTGTGTGGGCTGTTACTATTCTCAATTTAATTTATTAACCCAAATCTATACTATACATAATTAAGGAACTTAATTGTTTAACTGTCATTAATGTCAATTTGCGTGACACTATTCGATTAATGTCAACAACACGTCAATTTGTTAGATAGATACAAAACTATGCGTAGGTTAAAAATAAACATCTTGAGCATGAAAATTGTTCAACTTAAACAATGGACGTAACCTACTGTAAATACCTTTTCATACTTTACCGATACCAATCAATTCTTTCAAACCCAATAATTATCTAGTTATACTTAATATATAATTTAATTTAAAAATTAAACCTTTTTATACTTTATTGTCAATCGAATTTCTTTTTTTGGGCTGGTAGCGTATACCTCCATTGTGTAGCCATCATGGTTTTAAAAGATCGTTTTAAGAAGAATAATTCTCTACCTAGTACAATGTTGTCATTAAACTTAATTTTAAACTCAAGAAAGTATTAAAATCCGATCGATATTTTTCGAGTTTATCGCGGTTACAGCAACAGACAAACCCATAATAGAGATGCAAAATAATATGTTTACTGAATTATGGACTTTTAAAGTTTACGTGACAAAAAATTAACGTTAAAACAAAAGTTGAATTCTGGCCAATCATTAGTCGTCATAGTTAGGTATGTGGTATCGAGTTGTCTAAAAAGATACTGTCTGTAGCAATTATAACCATCGCCAAGGCCACTACCGACCTGCTCAGATGGGAACTCATTAAATCCATCATAGTTGATATTTGTATAGAATCCACAGTTTAAAAACTGGTTTTATTTCTGCTAAGTCATTATGACTCAACATTATGAACGAACAAAATAAAAAAAAACTTGTATATGGCATCTAGAGCACACAATATTTGTGAATAGATTCTTATTTTAGAAACATTCAGACCATTAAATGTAATATATTCATGAATACAAATATTACGGCGCGACTGTGCGGGAATCACCTGGTGTTGTATGCGTGCATAAATACCTCTAAGAAGTTATACATATTAAGTTTGCAAGAATGTGTCTCGACTCCGACATCGTAGTCATGATTTAAGTTTTTACTCTAGTCACATTTGTCCAATATCTTAATAATAATAATTATAAGAAAAACTAAAGAAAAAAAGGTAAACTTAAAAACTTAGGAAAACTTGACACAAACCCTTTTTTTTTTTTACGTGTGGAAATCCCCTCGGTCCGTCATCCCACCGGGGTTTGCGGCGGGGTGGTGTGTCGGACTTGGACCGACTAAAACCACACGGTGTGCCACTCTGCGCCTGTAATAGGAGGGATCCGGGAACAGCTGTTATTAAGGCATCCGGACCCCTCCTAGCGCCGGCCCGCTCCTGTTGCGGACTCCGTCTTTGACACAAACCCTGTGCCAACCCGCCTGGCCAGCGTGGCATAGTAGGCCAAAACCTTCTTTCTTAGGAGAGGCTTATGTCCAGCAGTGGACCATTAAAGGCTGTTGATGATGATTGATGATAAGAAATAGGTATGTGCAACGTTAAATTAAAAAAGTAACACTCATATATAAAACGACTTTTTTCAACATTAGTAATTCGAGTTATTAATTCGTTCATGGTAACAAAAGATATAAAGTGTTGCAATAAAATAATGTTTAATGTTTTCGATCACGCATGTGTGAAATAGATATTATGACACTTGTATTTCTACTTTTATGTTTACAACTTAAACATAAAATAGTAGGAAACGTGACTCAGATATGATAAAATAGACCGAGTTTATGGATTCTAGATACAGCTTCTCTATGGTTAAATATTTTTATGGATATTAGAACACAAAAAATGGACTAACTTGTCCTTGTTATTAAAACATTTAGCATAATGAAATAAACCTACCTCCCTAATATTCAAAAAATGAAATCTTAATCCTAGAAATACAAACTATACTAACTACTAAATAAGTAAATCTAAACTCAAACACTCAATAAAATGTCAACCAAATTTATGTAGCGGTTAAAAAGGCTTAGGACATACACGCGTACTCACTAATTATATATTTACACATTTATTATATTACTTCAAAAAGCCAAGAAACTGTAACCAGAAGCAGCATTATTTCAATCTACCTTTACTGCATGGCTTTTTGTCGCTCTGTAAGTTCCGGCTCTATGGCCTACCCTTCAATTTTGTAATTATTTCCGGTGAACGTTAAAAGTTCGGTTTTCTTTAATAAAATAATTACGTGTGTATTTTAACGGTACAGAAACGGTTTACCTTTCATTAATGTCATGTCGGCGTGACCCTATTAAGTTTATGATAACAATGGTCTTAAATTGATTACGTGATTGTTAGGCATAAAATACAAATATAAGGTTTTATTACATTGTTAAATTGTTAATGTAAGTTATCGAGGAATCACTCGATGGCGCATAAAGACAAATTCTATTGCTGTAAAAGGCGAAAACGGTCTTACCAGAAGCAGCATTATCAAACTGTACCTTTTTACCGCAAGACCGATTTATTTTTGTTTAGTTGCTCGGTCTATTATTTTCAGTTAAATGACCTACCCTTATATTTTGTAATTATTGCCATGAACATTTTAGTTTTATTAATTAAACTACCTACGTGTGTGTTACAACAGTGAAGGAAGTTAATTGATTAACTGTCATTAATGTCAATTTGCGTGACACAATTAGATTAATGTCAACAGTGACATACGTCAATTTGATTATTACTATGCGTAGGTACAACAAGTTTAGTTTCTTTATACCACTGAGGTCAAGAATAAACATCTTGAGCATGAAAATTGTTCAACTTAAACAATGGACGTTACCTACTGTACCTAAATACCTTTTCATACTTTAAACTTCGGTATTTATATATTTAGATGTAGAGTCGCACTACAAAATATGTATGTTTTGTAAGCCATCTTTTTTCGATTTTTCGCGGCAAAACTAGATGCAAATGAAACAATAAGTAGTTACTTATCCTTCGAAATAGTTGATTGAGCGTCAATAATTAGATGTTGTGTAAAATTGTTTAAGGGGAACAAATCTACCAAACAGTCATAAAATATAACACAATACGAGTGGAAAAATGGTTAACGTAAAATGAATCGATCTTGAATAATTCGAATAATCGATACGTGTAATAATTGATACGTGTTAAACAGTCTTTGTACCTACCCTTTTTAAACAAAAATGCGCACAACATCATGTCTTATTTGGAAGTCTTAATGTTTAAATGTAGAAACGCAGAAAGTTAAAGTAAACAGATATGCTATGAAATTACAAATTATGTAAATAACCAATACTTATTTATTAGAAGGAATAAATTTGCTCCGTTTGTGCAACACTTTTCATTAATGCTCGGCGCGATATTATTTAGACAACTGCCTTCCTAGATAAATGAAATCATCATCATCATCATCAACAGCCCTTAACAGTCCACTGCTGGACATATGCCTCTCCTTGCAATGGTGGTTTTGGCCTACTATACCACGCTGGCCAGACGGGTTGGTATATGGTTTGTTACAAGTTTTCCTTTTTTTTTTTGCAGTGCTGATGTTTTGCACAGTTTGCTCCCTATGTTTGATAAATGAACTATCCAACACTAAAATAATTTTTCAATTTGAACCAGCAGTTTCTGAGATTAGCGCGTTCAACCAAACAAACAAACTCTTCAGCTTCAAAATAATTTGTAAAGATGAACATATGAAAGTATTTTAATAGTAAAATTGGTTCTTTCTTTTACCAATATAATGACTATGTCACTTAGGTTTACACATTTCATAGGAAAAAAGGTATTTAGCGGTATTTACTTGTAAATGGTAGTCAATTGTAAAATATTTGCGGTTTTAACAAAAACATTTAGTCATTATCTAATACCTTGAAACGAGCAATTCTTGTATTTATGTAAATATGTCATCATCATCAACAGCCTATACTAGTCCACTGCTGGACATAGGCCTCTCCTTAGAAAGGAGGTTTTGGCCTACTATACCACGCTGGCCAGACGGGTTGGTATAGGGTTTGTGTCAAGTTGTCCTTCTCTCTGCAGTGCTGTTGTCCTGCGTATTTCGCTCCCTTACTCGCCTCTTACGACACCCACGGGATGAATGGGGGTGGTGACACTCTGTATTCTTAATCCGTCACCACACGTAATATGTATATAATCTGAATCTCTGAAACGGATTTTCATGAAATTTAGTATGCAGGGGGTTTCGGGGGCGATTAATCGATTTAGCTTGGTTTCATTTCTTGAAAATTTACCATCGATCATCCAGGTACTACTAATTATATCGTGACATGACACTTGTCGTGGACACACGGATTAAGAATACGGAATATCACCACCCCTATTCATGTATCCACCGTAGGTGTCGTCTAAGGGAACAAACTACGCACTGAGCACTGCAAGGAGCAGGAAAACTTGACACAAACCCTACACCAACCCGTCTGGCCAGCGTGGTATAGTAGGCCAAAACCTCCTTTCTCTTCGCTGTTGATGTGATTATTTTTGTTGTTATGTTTTAAGACAACCATAGCACAGGCTCTGCCTAGTTTGGGATCAGAAGGCCGTGTGAGATAGGTCAAGTTATTTAAAAGTATTCATATTTTACCCTTGTTATTTAACACAAGGTAATAAAGATTATTTCTTCTCCAGCACAATGACCATTGACCTGTACTACGTCCCGGGCTCCGCTCCCTGCCGCACCGTGCTGCTCGCTGCCAAGGCCCTCAACTTAAACCTCAACCTCAAGCTAGTGGACCTGCAGCGTGGTGAACACCTCAAGCCCGAATACCTTAAGGTACGGTGTAGGAATTAAATGATCCGGATGTCTTAATAACAGCTGTTCAGGCGCAGAATAGCAAACCGTGTGGCTGATTGAAAAAAAAAAAGATATTCGTAGAAGGGGAGAGCCATGCTTCGGCACGAATGGGCCAGCTCGACTGGAGGGATACCACAGCCTCACAGAAAACCGGTGTTAAGCAATTCTTTCGTTGCTTTTCACTGAGTGAGTGAGGTTACCGGAGCCCAATTCCCCCCTTCCGCTGACTCGAGCGGGAGGGACTCCAAGGGTAGCAACGCACTTGTGACTTTTAAGTTGCAGGTGTCCATGGGCGGCGGTAGTTACTTACCATCAGTTCGTTAGCCCCTTATACCATAAAAAAACGTATGCATTTCATATATTTATATGACAGTTACATATATTTATATATATACCCTCTCAAATAACCAAATTGATTTATATTTGACGGAGTTCTAATGTTAGAAACATCCAAAACAATTACAACCGATTTTGAGAACTGTGGTAGTTAACAAATTCGGTTTTATAAAGTATTTAGACAATAAACTTAAACTAACATTTTTATTAATTAAATTATCATAGATCTCCTTTATATTCCTAAGGAGGTAAAAGTGCATTAATTAACATTCTGTCTGTGGATGATGGAATATTTAAGGCGGAAAAACAAGATACAAAAACAAGTGTTTATTATTTATTGTTGTATGCTTCCTGTTTGTGTTGATAAAGTTTAATAAAAGTCAATCTTATTAATTACTAGCTGACCCAGCAAACGTTGTTTTGCCATATACATTATATCTAGGAAATATTGAAAAAAAATTATTAGGGATGGGTCACCCTTGTCATTTAGGGGTATGACAAATAGATGTTCCTATAATAGACGAAAATAGACGCCGATTCTCAGACCTACCCGATGTGCACACAAAATTTCATAAAAATCGGTCCAGCCGTTTCGGAGGAGTATGGTAACTAACATTGTGACACGAGAATTTTATAGATAAGATGTAGTTGTAAGTTTGATTTTATATTATTTTAACAAAAGATATAACTAATTAAACCTTCAAACTAAGACATTGTTTGATTCAACAAAGTATGGTACAAACGCGACTTCGCTATTTTTTCTTCTCTATTCGAAACGGTGTTATTTGTTGTGGCAAAAGAAATCAATAGTTCGGCCTGAATGTTTATGTCAAATTGGCAAATTGTAGGTCACAGGCTTTTAGTCTCATAGAGCTTGTCGTAATATAAAAAAAAATGTGTTATAATTTTTCTTTTACAGAACTTAATTTTATAAATGTACCTATGGGATGATGGGCTTTTGCGACGTTTGAAGGCCATTAAATAATATGTAATTACATAATAATTGCATAGGCTTGTATTGTTGTAGTTTGCCTTCCTAATGATTAGTAACTATAGCTACTTTAATTATAAATGTATTTGGATTTTATTTATAGGATTGGCTTTAAGATTAATAATAATACAACACAAAAGTTTTATAAGCATTTTATGGTAACACTTTAAGATGCGGTTATTTTTTTCCCCATCGTTTTATCTATTACTTGTTGTTTCATTATTGTAATGTTATTAAATTAAAGGAATAATAATAATAACTCGGCATATAACGCCCACGGCCGTCTGCTCTCGAATTAGGCAGAGCCTGCGGTAACCAGATTGCTAATACACATACGAATCGAACCCACATCCTCCAGCTTAGTATTTAGGATCACTTAACACTCAATGAACATGCCAGGCAATGCCATTGAATGCTCATTAGATAATGAATGAATATAGTCTATCTCTCCCTTTGAGATCCACTGCTTGTAACCGGTCTCCGCCTTACAACGTTCTGGCCAGCCGTTTCCTATCACTAACCATACTTTAAAATCATAGTAACAAACTGATTACAACTTTAAACCCTAACAAAGAAGATTGAAAGTCATTTAGCAATACTTATCAAGGCCACTCATGATGTAATACTGCAATCGGAATTTAAGGGCATTGAACCTTTATGGGAACGAGCATGTCTTTAACGTTATAACGTCGAACGAAGCATACCCTACTTGGAATAATTAATGTTTATACGTAAAAAAGTGCAGAAAGCTAAAAAAAATAAACAAGATGTTGTGTTCTGTTGTCGTGCTATGTGGTCGTGCTTTCAATTCCCACCCAGAGCAAATAATTACGCTAAATGTTACGACACAGCATAAGTATCTACATTGCACCCGTGCGAAGCCGGGGCGAGTCGCTAGTATTTAATAAAATAATGTATTACGAGAATTAACACGCTCACGATAGGTATAAAGTACATACCTACCTTTGAATCGCCTGACGACCTTTCGACCAGGTTGCACTGGCCGTGGTCACAGGCTGACTCTCAGCCTGTCTATGGTGAGCGTGTATCATATATAGATATATATTTTTGTATGTTTATCAGCATTCTGTTTGAACATGTTCTACTTAATTTGAGAAAAGCCGGCCATCTTTGAGAAATCTGTCAAAATGTTTTTAGGTATATTAAAAACATATTTTATCTATTTAATGTCTTAATAATCGCGCTGCTAAAGTACGATTTGCAAGTGCTGCTACACGATATAACCTTTTTTGTATCGTAAATCGTGACTTTAATGTTATAATGTAGATGTTAAGTTACCTTATTGTTGTCGTTACAAACAAAAATACCTACCGAATAGAAGTCGGATATCTCTTTTATGTTAGCAATAACTAGACATAAACGAGATATCTTGCTGCTTTCTGAATCAGTATTTAAAAATATATATATATTTTTAATTTTCTCTGTACAAATTATATGGCTTTTAAATAAAATTTTGATAAGCACTTATGAGGACAGCAAGAGACATTTGAAATAACTGATTTTATACAAACTAAATTACAGCAATGCCAAATATGCAACGCACTCCGCCTAAATCACCTAAGAAAACGAAGCAAGGTCAGACTCAACCGGTGCCTGGTCTTGCTTCGAAAACTGAGGGCGAGAACATCACTGTTCGAAACAAACGCCAGCGCCCTAATGACTCGCCAAACACACCGCTCCCGACTCAATTAGCGACTTGTGCGTGTCTCGATTTAAAAGATGAAGTACTGGAACTGTTAAACACGTGGAAAGCCGACCATGATAAAAAGCTGCAGGTATGGAAAACTGAACAGGATGCTATACTTTCTTCCCTGGCCAGGGATGTTTCAGAGCTGAAAAATCAATGCGAAGAGATAAGAAGAACAAACCTTGAATTGGGGGAAGGTATGACATTTATCAATAGGGATTATGAAGACATTAAGGAAAGAATATCAGACTTGGAAAGAAAGAAGATAGAAGATAGCGGCACAGTCCAGGGTATAGAAAAGCAGATCCAGGATATACAGCTCTCTTCGAGGTCCGCAACTGTTGAATTGCGCAACGTACCACCTAAAGAAAATGAGAAACCTAATGACCTGTTGTCTATTATTTCTGAGGTTGGGAAGGCTGTAAATATGGAGATACAGGAGTCACATTTGCGTGATATATACCGCCTTCCTGGAAAACCAGGAACGTCGCGCTCAATTATCGCCGAATTCTCCTCTGTCTCTGGCAAACACGAGTTTCTGTCCAATGTGCGTCGCTTCAACAAAGAGCGTGCCACTATCGACAAGCTGAATACACACACTATTGGATTACCTGGTGAAAAGAAGCCTATATATGCCGCTGATCATCTGTCACCTACACTGAGGAAGCTCTTTTATGAATGTCGTCAACTTGCCAAGATTCATAGGCTATCTTGTTGGAGCTTAAATGGAAAGATTTTCATGCGTAAAAGTCACGAAGATAAACCCACCCAAATTAAAACAGAAAGTTGCATTTCCACATTTATAAGTAAACAATGACTATGTTTTTTTATGCAACTACTCACTTTCGGTATGTCAAAATATTATATAACTTTAAATATTCTTTCTATTTTAAATATCAATAATGTATGTTACTTATCACACTATTCTTACCAATACTCACACATTTCAGTACACTTTCAACGAACAAAAATAATTTACGATTATCTCAACATTTATTTACATCTAATCACGCTCGCATACACAAACAAACACACATATTCACTGAATGAGTTTCCTTACCTAGGAATTCTAACAGAACTGGTAGCCCTACTTACATACATCAATATTTTTGGATCCATTCAGATAATAATATTATGGAACAAGTCTTGCCGTCGTGATCCTCAGTCATAGCTAAATAATTTAATTAAAATTCGATAACCTAAACCTACAAAACAGTATTGATTATTTTTCTGTTTCTGACTCGGTTAAATGTGATATAGATGACTGCCATAGATTCATTGGTAACCCGGTTCAATTTCTAAAATTACTCAATCAAAATATTCGTAGCATATCGTGTAACTTTGCCGGACTAGAAGGCCTAATAGCAAGGTCTCGTGTGACTTGGGATGTTATTATTTTAACTGAATGTTGGCTACAACGTAACTCCAACTTACCGATTCTACAAGGTTACGAAAAATTCTGGACAACCTCAAATGTATTACAAAATGATGGCGTTGTAATTTATATTAAAGACCATATCGCTGCAATAGTTGATGAGCCGGCATTCCCTGATGCAAATTGCCTTGTAGTCCAAATAAATTCGGACACCACGATTATTGCCATATACCGTTCACCGTCATACAAAAATATCACAAATTTCCTGACCGCCCTAAACAACATCTTAACGAAATACTCAACTTTTCAAACAATTATATTGTCTGGTGACATTAACCTTAGCATTAACGGTGAAATCTTAGACAATAACTCTTGGGAATACTTAAATCTTACAGCGTACCATGGTTTACTCCCAGCTCACACACTACCAACTCGACAAGACAATTGCCTTGACCATGTCCTCCTGAAAACTAAGATGGAAGCTCTTACCCTGGTTGCACAAACATCTCTGACCGATCATGAAGCAGTAATACTCTTTCTTAAAATGAAACTTAACACTTACCACAATACTGAAAAAAAAACATCTATTATTGATTATAGGGGCCTTGCAGTAAGTCTTGGTAATATGGATCTAAAGCCACTATTTAACTCAATAGACGTAAATTTTGCTACCAATTTTTTGATATCATCCATCACCAAAGCAATTAAGTCAAACTCTAAACAAACCATATGCTCAAGAAGAAGATTTATTATAAAACCCTGGATTACGCCTGGATTATTAAGGTGCATGCGTAACAGAGATCATCTACACAAAAAAGTTAAAAAGAATCCAAACAATGAGACTGTTTTAATCACATATAAACGCTACCGCAACTACTGCAATAATCTGCTCAAAAGGGTAAAACAAAACTATGAAAGAAACGAACTTAATAAAGCTAAAAACAATCCTAAGCTATTATGGAAATCTATCAATGACATCACAAACAGACAGAAAATAAAACTTACTGCGACTGAACTAGTAAAAAAACACGGTAATCCTACGGCTGCAGTCAACAGTGTCAATGATTTTTTCGTGAATGTTGGCAAAGTCTTGGCAGAAAAAATGATAAACAAGGGTTATGCTAGTTCCTCTGTTCACGCCAAAGTTCTTAAAAGTCCTAACTCTCTCGTGTTTTTGCCCACAGACGAATGCGAGGTAGATAGACTTATCACATCGCTAAAAAGCGATGCCGCCGGATATGACAACATAAGTGCAAAGATTCTTCGACTTAACAAGGAGGTTGTTGTACCTCCTCTCACTCACATATGCAACTTAGCTATCATCAACGGCACATTCCCAACTGCTTTCAAAAAAGCTCTAATCATACCGGTACATAAGGGGGGAGCTAGAGATCGTGTCAACAACTATAGACCAATATCCATTCTTCCTTCTATGTCTAAAGTCTTGGAAAAGATCATGAATAGCCGTCTTACGAAATACCTAGAGGCGAATAAGCTATTGTCCCCTTCTCAGTACGGTTTCCGTTCTGGAATATCCACTGGAGATGCAGTTCATGCCCTTACAAACTATGTTTTTAAAGCATTAGAAAATAACATGAAATGTATTGCTGTCTTTTTAGATTTGGCCAAGGCTTTTGACACGGTCTCCATCCCAATCTTATTAAAGAAAATGGAACATATTGGTGTTAGGGGGTTACAGCACAAATTGTTTAGAAACTACTTGAGTTGTAGAATCCAAAGCACAAAAATTGGGGAAAATGTAAGCGAAGACCTACTTGTTCAATACGGCGTTCCGCAGGGTAGTATCTTAGGTCCTTCCCTTTTCCTCATATATATTAATGAGCTCTGCAACCTACAACTGACTAACGGATTAATAATTACTTTCGCGGATGATACAGTCCTAGTATTTCAGGCACCGACATGGGATGAGGTTTTTGCTTACGCGCAGACTGGCTTTGACACTGTCACGAAATGGCTTAATGAAAACATTCTAACGTTAAATGCGGACAAAACAAAATATGTTTCCTTCTCAAAACGAGGTTCCCCAGTTGACCACCCATGGACTATAGTAGCCCATTACTGCTCTAATTCTGAAATCGCAAACTCCCAGTGTACATGTCCAAAACTGCAGAATGTGAGCACTGTAAAATATCTTGGCGTTCTAATAGACCAGAATCTGAATTTTAACAGTCACATCGAATTGCTTACTGCACGAATGCGCAAACTAATGTATGTCTTCAAGAGCATACGAGGGGTCGCTGACACTACTACTATTAGAATGGTGTATACAGCACTTTGCCAATCATTACTGATCTACTGTGTCACAGTTTGGGGTGGCACCTATAAATCCTCACTCCTGAAGCTAGAGAGGGCACAAAGAGCCGTGCTAAAAACGTCATTATCTCTTCCATTTCGTTTTTCTACTGTGGAACTCTATCAAAGGTGCTCCTTGCACTCAGTTCGACAATTATTTATTTTGTACACAGTTCTTAAGCAACATTCTTTACTACCTTTTGACCCCTCTGTACTATCAAAACGACGGAAACATAACGTATGTCCGACCTCATCGTGTTCCCATTTCTCCCACAGATCTTTTTTCTTTTTAGGCGGATTTTTATATAATAAATTAAATAAATCTCTAGATATTTATTCGGAAACTAAAACGTGTGTTAAATTGATGGTATCAAAATTTTTACTAACCCTGGACTACGAACAAACGGAAAACTTGCTAAAAATAGAAAAATAGTAATACACATCTATACATACCTCATATTTTAACACACACTTATGTGCGCGCAAACACACACAATACACACACGCACGCTCTCATAAACATACAGATACAACCACACACACATTTAAAATAAATACTAGCACATTTTAAATTCAGTTACCCGTTTTGTCTCTTTTCTGTTTTTTTTTTTTTTTTCTCTTTGTAATATTATCTTAAATTTTAAGTGTCAACTTTGTACAGTTTATACATGTTTTTTCGCGGATGGAAGCCCGGTTATCCATAACACAAGTATTTTACTTAGTTTGGAAACCGGTCTCCCACTATTGTGTTATGATAACATTGTACATCTGTTTATATTGTAATGAGGGAGAATTAAACATTTATTATTATTATTATTTATTATTATTATCTGACTCACATTTACTATCCAGCCGGATAGAGAGACCAAGTATCCGGCTGTATACTGGATAGTATAATAAGATGCTTAATTTAAATTTAATAACTAAGGCAATAATCGTATTTTCATTCACAACAAAACTAATAGTATTTTTTTAATAATACCAAGTAAATGTTTTTTATTAAACTCATAACACATACACACATACTTTTATTGACTTTGTTAGTTAGGTTAGGAGTATTTTTCGTTGCAACTCTAAGCGGATGTTGGCAACATTGGTAATGCTTGGTATTCGTGGTTGACTGACCGTTGAACTAAACAGGTTCCCGTGAAAGTATCGAGTATAAGTAACTTTGAACGTGCCCAATATATTTTAAGAAATATTGAAATTTAAATTCCTAACATCTATTTCTTCAAAGTTTTTTGGTTTTCGAACTGAGTTGCAGGCGTTCATGGCCGGCGGTTGCGCTTTATATATAGATGCTACAAGGGATAAAATTCAAAGTTAAAAACTAATCAACCCTTAGACAGGCGTAAAATAAGGAATAATCACTAATTTAATTTTTAATTCTTTTCCAACAGCTCAATCCACAACACACAGTCCCCACTCTCGTGGATGATGGATTCGCCATCTGGGAGTCTCGTGCTATCATAACTTACCTTGCGAACAAGTACGGCAAGGGCAAGGGACTCTACCCAGAAGAACCCAAAGCCAGAGCTTTGGTTGATCAACGCCTGTACTTCGATATTGGCACACTTTACGCCAGATTCGCAGACTATTTCGTGAGTATAATCACAAATTTATGTTTTTTTGACAACTTCTTTTTACTCTCTAGTTATTTCATACTGTCAACACGTATTACTTACCTGTAAATAAATTACAAAAAAAAATGATTTGAAAATCGAATACGATATCATATGAATATTTTTTTTAGTGAATGTTCAAATTTTTTTTATATTTAGAGGCAGGTTTAGGAAGTGCATATAAAGTATAATGTTGGGACACACTGTATTGTTTTAGTCGATTCTATTCAAACACTTCTCCCAGTCTATTGAGGCAACGGCCCGTGGGATTTTTATACGCACAAAGAGGCAATGAGCTGTCCAAGTTTAGTAGTTTTTCTTTATTTTATGTATAACCAAACTGTCAGGTTAGATACTACGAGTGGAAGAAGAAACTACAAAACTAACTACTGACAAATGATTCTAGTATCCGCAAGTGTTCGGTAACGCACCAAGTGACAGCGATAAGAGGACCAAAGTTGAGGATGCTCTCCAAAATCTCAACACTTTCCTGGAGGGTCAGAAGTATGTCGCCGGTCCCAACCTGACTCTCGCTGATCTGTCCCTCGTCGCCTCCGTGTCAAGCCTCGAGGCCACTGATATTGACTTCCTTAAATTCGCTAATGTTAAGAGGTAAGTCTGTCTAAATACAGCTTAGTGATTTTAGAACTTGTGGGTTCAAATCAGTATAAATACTTAAATCATCTTCTGTAGATTCTAAAAAATAAGATCGTCATTTGGCACAGACCATAATTCTACCTAAAAATAGATTTATAGTGATTTTGTTAGGAAATATTTCTTTATTACAATATGTATGATCATTTTCTTACAAATCCTGACTGACCTTGGTAAAAGATATTGGAATTATCCGATCACACGAAATATTACGTACTTATCTGTAGTTTGTTTCAAAATAATGTTTCTGCCTAAAAAACAATAAAATGAAATTGCACGCTTAACTTTATTTACGCTAACGCAAATTAAATATTGCCCTTATGATGTTTGTAGGTGGTACGAAACAGTGAAGTCTACCGCACCCGGCTACCAAGAAGCCAACGAGAAGGGACTGGAAATGTTCAAGGCTCTCGTCGAAAGTATGAAGAAGAAGTAACTTAATAACATATAAATTTTCCATCAATATTGTCGACTCCATTCATTTGATGTGCTAGTTAATTCTAAAATCGAATAAAAAGACCTTTGTCATTATGCGGGATATTACAATTACGTTCGCACATAAATCAAACACGTGACTTTTTTAGTCTAAACGAGAACACGACTAAATTATCTGAAATCGGTAAAGGCATAACATATTTTTATTCTATCTCATTATTCCAGTATTATGAGGCTTTTGCGTGCGAACGCAATTCATACATTTTTCACCGCAATTCAAACTTTCAAGTATTATTCGTCCAATATCTGATGTTTACAAGTTGACAGATTATTCTTTTGCAATGCAATTTTTTAATGTTTAATGAGTGGAGTTTTTTGAATATCTACACTTACCTAAAATCGTCACATTATATGTTGTGCGGTCACATTCACAAAATATTGTTTTTTCGAATTACACTGTTTTACATTCAGATTTCTAACATTGTTAAGATTTAATTTATAAGGCACCTTTAAATAAATTTTAAAATCTATATACTTTTGTTTTATTTATTGTTTAGAGACTCGTTTTGTGAAGATGTTTGTTTTGCCTATTTGAGGCCTCTGTCCAAACACAGGCAGCCATAATATTTTCGATTGGTTAGCGGTTAGCGGGCTCGACTGCCAAGCCAAAGGTCATAGGTTCGATTCCCACCCAGAAAAAATATTGTGGCATGAGCACGATTCCACGTTCTGTGTCTGGGTGAAATTTATCTGTTATATGTGTGTATTTAGATTTATAAATTTAAACAATTTTTTGGACATAATATTAGTGTAAATAGTAAAGTACTAATTTAAATGTGATGTATTATCAAAATGACTAATTTTTCAGGCCTTAATCGGCCGACAATGATTTATTTTGCATCCAATGACACCTTAGATGTCAAATGACTATGTATTATATTCAGCAATAAATAATTCATTAATTGATTAAAATTATATGTGTTCAGTTGCCAGCAATAGACGGCAATACGTAAGACTAAAATTATAATCAGCAAAATGTGCCCATTTACCTCTTTCTACCCCTTTAGGGGATAAAGGCGTGAGCGTATCTATGATATAAACTTCTTGTCCCATTCAATAATACAGTTCACTAGAATTCTTCACATACAAGCGTAATTAAGTCGTAGTACTTTTCTTATGGTTTGTTGTTCCCGATCATCATCAACAACCTTTTACAGTCCACTACTGGACATAGGTCTCTCCTTAGATAGGAATTTTTGGCCTACTATATCACGCTGATCAGACAGGTTGATATAGGGTTTGTGTCAAGTTTTCCTTCTCTTTGCAGTGCTGTTGTCGTGCGTAGTTTGCTCCCTTAGTCAGCTCTTACGACACCCACGGGATGAATAAGGGTGGTAACAATCCGTGTTCTTAATCCGTTACCACACGGACGGGATTGTGTCCAATACGTAGGTATATTATATTTATACATGACATAATTCAATATATACTGAAATGTTAGTACTTTAGTTCTATGATAATTGTTACATAACGAGGGAAATTTTATCTTATTCGGTGCACACAAACAACATTTCATTGTTTTCATTTTCGCTATCTTAAATAAATATTGACTGATTATTCAATTGTTCAGTTATCTTAATACTTATTACCTACTTTAATTATTACAATGTAATAACAAGCTGATTCCAAAGCTTGTTATTACTAGATAGACTTTCGTACCTAATATTTACTATAACAATCTAATAATTGAAAAAAAAAACAACAAAAAACATTATACATTTTTTAAGCCCGTGACTTTCATTTGTATACTTTTGATATAAGTACTTAGTGTCAACGTGATAATTAAAGTGAACTTTTTTTTTTCTGTGCCGAACTCCCCTCGGATACCACCCACCAGTGGGTGATTATGTCGGACTCGAACCGACCAAAAACCGCACGCCGTCATAGGTACCAGTAGCCGGGGAACCAGATATACCCTAGAAAGGAAAGCCCTGGTACCCCGACGTACCATCTACGGCTTATAGATGACCCATTTAAAGTGAACCTAAGTCAAAAATCTTCCAGCTGTTTGCACTACAGATGATTGGCGTAAAACATAAATGTCCTTCTGGCGTAGTCGTGTAATAAAGTAGGAAAAGAATGTAAGTGTTGTGTGTGTGTACAACGAGAAACATATTTCAATGCCATCTAACGAAGGCATACTGAACTACGGAGTAACTACACATGCTGCATCGCGGAATAAAAGTTCTCGCGAATTTAGTAAGTATATATAGGTGTATATCTGTATATTAATATAGTGATCACTTCGCCTGGTAGAAGAACCCTGCCATTGTGTTCGAGAGTCCCTCCCTCCAGATATCATTATTCGTAACAAATGGCGAACCGTGTCAAACCAAGTCAAGGCCATGCGATGACGTTTAGCGCCGGATTTGCCAGATATCGTTAGTGACGTCTCAGTCGCCTGTCAAACTAATTTAGAAGCATACCTACCTATATTTAGTTCTCTTCTTCTACACAATAAATACTGTGCACGTATTAGTATAGTATAGTATAGTATAGTCCAATTTAGTAAATATCGAAACTGATACGAAGCAAATCAAACTGAGTTTCAATTATTTTTCGAAATTGGTTTTTATGGTATAAGGGGCCAAACAAGCAGACGGGCACCTTGGGGTAAGCAACTACCGTCGCCCATGGACACCTGCAACTCAAAAGTCAGCAAAGTAAAGAAGCAGAGTCAGCGGAAGGGGGGATTTGGGCTACGGTAACCTCACTCACTCAGTGAAAGGCAACGAAAGAATTGCTTACGAATTGTTTTCTGTGAGGCCGTGGTATGACTCCGGTCGAGCCGGCCCATTCGTGCTGTAGCATGGCTCTCCCACGAAGATACATAATAATTATAGTATGTTAATAAAATGTAGTACATATAGTAAACATGGTAAAGATACCTTTCCGTCCCTTTTTCCAGAATCATTCAATAGTCCACTGCTAGACATACGCCTCTCCTTAGAAAGGAGGTTTTGGCCAACTATACCACGCTGGCCAGACGGGTAGGTATAGGGTTTGTGTCAAGTTTTCTTTCTCTCTGCAGTGCTGTTGTTCTGCATAGTTTTCTCCCTTAGTCGGCTCTTACGACACCCACGGGTTGAATAGGGGTGGTGACACTCTGTATTCTTAGTCCGTCACCACACGGATTCCTCGTACATAGATTTAAAAAAAAAACAAGCATAATTCTTTATATGTTTTATTACATACATATCGCCTATCGATTCTATGTTCTAAATAAATTCATCAACTATACTCGAACACTGGCCATTTAACGTCGGGCCGTTTTAAAAAAAATAGGAACTTCACAATTCAGATTTCGCTTTCTTCTGAGCTAAGAATTGTTTAAATTCGTCGATACCCTTTTCATTGGCCTCTTTGTAACCTGGAGCGGTAGATTTAACCAGCTCGTACCACCTGTAAAACATTTGTTTTTTTAATCATAGAATAAGTAGAAGGGCGCGGGAATCCGAGAAACCGTCACTTCGCTTTACAGGTATGCGATCCGGACCAGCTTGAGGTTTGGGGAGGGGCTTAAAGTGTGGCAACGTACTTGTGACTCTTGAGTTGCAGGTAGGATCAATGAACGACGGTAGTCACTTACCATCAGGTGACCAGTCTGCTCGTTTACCATCCTATACCATGATAAAGACTAAGATTCCTTTAACAAATAATAGTAACTTGACTGATGGATCTCACACACGGGCGTCTGATCCCAAACTAGGTAGATTCTGTACTATGGTAAGCAGACCGCTGATAAACATACTTATATATTTCGAAATACATACATGTTATGGATAAATTACACCCAGATACAGAACGAAATGATCGTACGGCACATAATAATTTAAGCCGGATGGGAATCGAACTCGACTTCTAGGTTCAGGATCCAGCAGAACCAGGAACTGTGGATCAGCTGGCCAGTCAAATATTTGCAATGATCGGGAATCGAAACCCCAACCCTGATGTAGCAGGACTACTACGCATAATAATATAATACTAAGTACCTAATACTTACTTCACAATGTTAGGATAATTTTCTAATTTGACTTCAGTAAGTTCTATAGTAGACACTGTGGCGACAAGACTCAAATCAGCCAATGTCAGTTGGTCACCAGCGGAGTACTTGTGACCTTCGAGGAACGCGTCGAAGAATCCCAGAGCATCTTCTAAAAGCTTAAATGCAGCAGGATCTTGTGGCGCGTCGGCAAAAACTTGTGGGTACTAGAACAGTATTGGAAGTATATAAATACATTTCTACAATGGGAGGGGGGGGGGGGAGAGGGACAGAGTTACTTTATATAGAGAGCGATATACCAGTAATTCATACTTTTATTATAACTATGAAAGTGATTTTGTTTATTTATTTGTAATGCTTTCCTAAACCTTTTCTAAACCGATTTAACAAATTCTTTAATACATGTTTTTCACCTGATTTTTGTAAAGTGGGGATGGGCAAACTGTCTGTTCCTGACGTCTGCTCACTTACCTCCTTATACCATAAAAAACTACAAAGACGGCGAGCGACGGGCCAAGCACAACGCCATACGCGGTGACCGTGATGATTGAGTACATGTGAAATACACACACTGGGCCCTCAGATGCTACACATCGTCATCGGTTAATTATAAGATCTGGCATACCTATATACTGTACTCAAATTAAACAAAAAAGTTGCCATTAAAGAGTTTGAATCCAATACACAAAAAGCTAAGAAATATTACCTTTTTAATAAGGAGGATTTTCTTATTAAAAAGGTAATATTTTACCTGGAAGATCAGTGTTATGTTGTATCGTGGGTAGTTCTAAAAAATATAAGAATTCATACGTTTTGCATATGCGTAGATACATTTTATTATACATGCATATTACTTACGAAATATTTAGCAAATCTTGGATAGAGTGTGCCCAAGTCGAAGTCAAGTCGTTGATCCACAATAGCTCTTTGTTTTAAGTCGCTGGGGTAGAGGGAATCTCCTCCGTACTTGTTGGCAAGATCCGGCTGATTGCTCGCGACTCCCACAGAACAAAACCATCATCGTTTATGGTAGGGACGGTGTGTTGAGGATTTAACTGTAGAGAAATGGAAGTACTTTAAAATGGTAATACTTTAAAATTCAGACATTTATAGGTAATAATAAGGTTCAGGTATAGCAGGCCAAAACCTCCTTTTGAATGAATATGAAATTATGAAAATGAAAATTGCCGGCTTCTATAAATTTTAAGTACCTACCTATATATTTTCACCCGGATGCGTTTTGTTTTTTTTTTTAATATTCAGCTTGCAACACAGTAGTTAAATAAAAAACAATATGCAGAGCTGAATAACCTTACCAAGTCATTAAATCAATCTGAATAAATTTTCATCAACAGCCTATAATAGTCCACTTCTGGACATAGGCCTTTCCATAGAAAGGAGGTTTCGGCCTACTATACTACGCTGGCAGGACGGGTTGGTCGAGTATAGGGTTTGTTTTAAGTTTGGTGCGGATGTCTTTATAAAAGCAGTTCCCGGATCCCTCCCATCACAGGCGCAGAGTGGCAGACCATGGGGTGACGGCACGAGGTGGTTTCCACACGTAAAAAAAGGGTTTGTTTCAAGTTTACCTATTTTTATTTGTGTTCTATTATTTTTAATATTAAATTTTAGCAAAAAATAATTAGATTCCTTTAAATAATTAATATAATAAAGAAAATACGGCATTTTCCCGTGAATTTCCGCGGATATGCATCAAAAAACGGAATAACAAAATATTGTTATTTAAAAGTCAAAAACGTACGGCGACGTAGTTTTCTACACTAAGTTAATAATATTATAAATGCCTCATAAAAGATGTGAAGACTCTCCATAAAGAATTAGACCTGAACATAATTTAATTAAATTAGTAACTTTATTTATACGTTCAATTGTTTTCATTCAAATGTCATTTTCAGACAAGTTCTCATGAGAAACTCCCACGACACTCAAGACAGCAATTTCTTTTCGACGTAGTTATGTACAATTGTTTAGGTATATTGTTAGTTTGTTTCTCCTTACATAGTTTGTTGAATTTATTAGTTAAAGTACATACGTTCATGCATACGAGTACTTACACACATATTTTTATTAATTAATCTATTTTACTGACAATCTATTTGAATCTTGATTATGGCGTAGTGGTTTAAGCGGTCACCTCGCCGCTTCCTACTGCGCTAAGTGTTGTGGGTCTGATCCCCACATGGGACAACAATTTGTGCGATCCACAAATAATTGTTTTGAGTATGGGTGTCCTTTTCATGTATGTTTGTAAAGTCTCCCGCGACCCAGGATTTATTCCGAGTTTGGAAAATGTTAAGTTTGTTTGTACACACTTCAAAAACTCAAAGAGGTCTGCACCGATTGAGCTGAATTCTTATCTACTTTTCGTGTCAGTTCTGTTCCTCAATTGTCATAAATGCAATCACAATGTGCCACAACGAAGCGTTGGAGGAGTGGGAAGGCACAGCTAGTATACACAGGCACAGGTAGCAGGCCTTTTGCCGTTAACCAGGCGTATACCTATATTTCTAAATTAACATTCTTTTATAAATAATAATAATGTAATAACATTTTTTCTGACATCTTATACACAACGCCATCTAGTTTCAAACTAAGCAGAGCTTGTACTATGAAAACTAGATTGACTGATAGAATACTTCTACACTTTTTTTTTTGTAAATACATACATATTATACATAGAAAATCAGCCAAAGTCCGAAACATTTATTTGCAGATCATACAAACATTTGGTCCGACCTGGAAAATGAACCCGAGACCTCAGCACAGCTATTGCAAACGCTGCCACAGCACCACTGAGGCAGTCAAATGTAAACATGTTATAGGTAAATTACACCCAGACACCAGACAGGAAAATCGTGTTCATCAGACAATATTTGTCCTGGGTGGCAATAGACCCCACGATCTCTGGCAGAACAGTAAAAATCACAAACTACACCAACACGCCAATAAACGTCAATAATAAGGACTAAAATATTTTCTTCGATGTGGAATATCAGAATTAACCCTAACTCGATTCTTTAAACCAAAAAAAATTTCCTTATACAACCCCTAGTTAATTCCAAGCTAAAATATTTACCCACTAAAAGTAGCAAAACATTGGCAATTTACCTTTAAGAAATCAGGTTTTAACTGGTCACCCTCTCTTAAATTCAAAGGTTTCAAGTTGAACTGGATGTCGAGAGCGGCTGCCACAAGGAGAACCAGACGACAGGGCGCGGAGCCCGCTGTGTAATACAAATCTATTGACATATTACACCTGGAAGGAGAATGTTATGTTATCATAAGAACTATTAACCAGTAAAAAGAAAGTTTTGACAGCTGGCCTGGACCTAAGTTACTTATGACTGAATTTACCATAGAGAAAACAAGAGCCCCCATCTTGCAATATAGGCAACGAGAGAGATGGATAATAGATGGTCCTATCTATCTATTTCTAGTCATGCTCTGTGGTAAGCTAGGGAATATGAGAGGTTAGTAAGCAGCCAATCGCAGCTCAGCTAAACAGAGACAGAGAGAAATATCGGGCATCCATCTTTCTCGTTGCCTGTATCGCTTCCACTTACAGGCAGCTGTACCCCGTGTTCTCTCTATCCTTACATGTCTATGGAATTTACAGTCAAAAATACTTTGGTCATACCTACCTAAGTCACATTAATTGTTATTAAATCATTTACCTACACAATACAGGTAATTTACTTCTCGAGTTTGTAACTTATTTTCCCATAGAATATTTTGTTTTTCTTAGTAATGTCTGGACCTGAATTACTAGGATTGAAGAAAAGAAAGATTTGCTTGTTTATGTTAGTTTATGTCAAAATGTTTGAAATTTTTGACTAGCGAAGCTACCACGCGCTGGTGTTTTTTAACCGGCTGATACTGATAGCTTCGATTATTAAAGATATAGTTTGATTTTTCCGGTAATTAGGATAACGCAATGATATTGCGCTCCCTGGAAAAGGCTACTAAGTTGACAAATCTATACTTCGAGTAATATTATAAAGCTGAAGAGTTTGTTTGGTTTGAACGCACTAATCTGAGGAACTACTGGTCCGATTTGAAAAACTCTTTCAAATGTTAGATAGCCCATTTATCGAGGAAGGCTATAGGCTATATATCATCACGCTAAAGCCAATAAGAGCAGAGCACCAATGAAGAATGTTGCAAAAACGGGGAAAATGAATTCCTTTTAAAAGACGTAGACGAAGTTGCGCGAGTGAGCTAGTCTTGTTATTATTATAAGACAAAGACCATTCATGTTCACTTGGTTGGCAAATAAAGATTGATTAACTGATATAAAAAGTTAAGTTTAAATCATTCTGATGCAGCTATGGTAGTGCGCGGTTTTCGTAGTTTTGTAAGGTGCCAAGGTCAATAATTTTAACAGTTACAAAAACAAATAATTCCGATTGACTGATGTGAATTGAAATGATATCAACGATTTTAGACAAGTTTATTGTTTCATATATTTCTGTATGTCATCATAACCTAACTTTATTACTGCAACTTTAACTGCCTACACTTTATAATCGCATGTTAAACTACCTAAAATAAATCTAGATAAAACCTTTTACCATAACACAAACCACTAACTAACTAAACTAAATAAAATTGAAAAACTTACCGTTTCTATAGACTATCCTATACAAACAGATAAGATAAACTGAACACAAAACCCGGCCGGTGTGCTTATACAAAAACATGATAACCTTGAATCAGTGTTATTGGCTTATTACCCTACTGAATTATGTGGTAGGTAGATAAATATATTCAAATGATAGTACGGAAAGCTAACAAGCGTATCAAACATATACCATTTTTAGCCGTGTTACCATTTATCTATGAAATATTTATAAATTCTTAATTTAAACTAAATATTGTGCATGGCAATGTAATTTAGCGTAGTATTTATCAGATGTTCATAATTGAAATCTGACACAATGGTGATTCGACCAATTTAAATTAATACAGTTTGCTTTTAAAGTTACCAAGTCCTGTAAGAAATTGTAACACATTGTGTGCGACACAGTAATCCACCAACAGATGGAAAGAACTGGTAAATGGTCAACACCTAATTCTAACTGTGAACAATCTGCTTATCATATCCTCTGGGAATGTAGTCTTTGGTATGATGAACATAATATAATGCTGAATAGCTTGCAGGTGACATCTGGGGCAGTATATTATGGGGATCTTGTGTCTAGGGTGAATTTCCGTGCGTTTAGGCGATTCTGCCATACATATTATAGAAATCAAATATAGCTCACTTAGGATAGGACCCATGATATTTTGTATTCGTGGTGCTTCCCTGTTTAAAAGGGTGTATGCCTATTTTACTTCATTTTGTCACTCGCTTTGCTAAGGAGGGAAGTGGATTTCCAATTTTCTTCTGACTAATTTCGTTGCGGGTTCCAAGACAGTTTTTCTTTCCTGGGACTTCCCGAGTGACATAACTCGGTGTGTTCATGGGTGACTGCTGTTGATCCTGGTGTACAGGAGTGACAGTGGTGGGCGTGTGGGAAGGATTAGTCCCAATTTAAATTGAAATCTGAATTGGACATTGCAAAATTACAAAGCACATTTAAACTTAGTTAGAATATGTTATTCTAGAAAATGTCGGTCTGAAAAGCAAAAATCTCAGTTATCACAAGATGTTACTGAAAACTTATCTGCGAAAGCCCATTATTATCCATTATAAGTTATCAGTAACCATTAAGTAGGTAGGTACATTAAAGTCTACTCACGCTAAGTCGCCATCTTGTACTTACCTAAATACTTAGTCATTTTTGTCAAGGTCGAGGCCGATTCAAACAGTCATAACATTTTTTATTGACATTTGGTACATACGAGTACAAATGACTAAAATGGCGGGTCGCAACCCTGCCTATCAACGGCCACTGCCACTCTGGCAAGAGTATCCGACTAAGAAGTAGAAGACATCCCACACACGGCCGTCTAATCCCAAACTAGGCAGATGGTGACCAGACTAGTTATAAACATACTAACAAATATTAAAATATTTAAAAAATATTAGGTACACCCACCAATGACATTTTAAGGAAGATACGTTATATTCATACTGCACGCACAAAATATTTGTTCCATAACCGTACATACATACATCTATTAATGCCTTTTAGAACAAAACATACACTTAACGGTGGTATGAAATTCTTTTATATTTAGTTACCTTTTTGTCAGAATTTGTGCACTTTCGGAATACACAGGAAGGCATTTCATTAATTTTCTCGAATTAATTAGTACGTGCACTCGCTCGCACTGGTCCTAAGTAGGACCTTTATGTATTATATCATTGAACACATAGAACAATATACATAGAAGGCCAAAACCTCCTTTCTAAGAAGAGCAGCAGCAGTGGATTATTAATGGCTGTTGCTGGTAATGATAGATCGTGCTCATCACACAATATCTGTCCTGGGTGAGAGTCGAACCCACGACCTCTGGCTTAGCAGGAGCTCTACCTAGCAGACCAACGGGCCCGTGCATTTGCGTAATCTCAAAGAAAAGTAATTATTTATTTTAAGTTTGTTCCTGCATTCGGTGTTCTTGGTGGCTTCTGAATAAAAAAAAAATTGTACCACATTCACACAACGCCATCTAGTCCCAAACTAAGAAGAGCTTGTACTATGGGTACTAGACAACTGATATAAATACATATATACTTTTTTTTAGAAACACCCAGACCAAATCAAACATTAAATGATGAGCACACAAATGTTTGACTTGAGCGGGAATCGAACGAATTTGGAATAGCAGTCCGTTACACAAACCACTACGCCATTCGGTTGTCTTGTATAACAAATATTAATATAACACAATTAGTATAGGTAACTAAAGAGCTCGTTTAAAGATATTAGATTTGCTATGAATGTAGGTGCATCAAATAACAGATTGAATGGCTTTAAATGATCCGTGTACATTCTGCCTTAAATTAACAATGCAAAAATTGATAAAATTAGGGTTGATATAAATTAAATGAAATGTGGAATGAATAAGTATAAAGAAAAAAACTAATAATTATTATTTTAGATGTCAATGGTCCACAAAATAATTATGAATATTTTATCTGTTAATGCTTCAGAATTATTAAATTACAAGTGATAAGAATTATAAATTGTGATTACTGTATCTATTAAAAAAATCATTGATTGTGTAGTAGCATTTGTCCATAAGCAAGGCTATTATTTTTTTTTAAAATCTCCCATTACATCATTTTTTAAGTCATCAAGCAATTTGTTATATATAATGGGACCCATACAGATAACACTTTTCCTTAGTAACACCGTGTTATAGGAACCAACACGTAGGTTTCTATATTGGTTTCTCACAGGTCCTTTAGTTTCTGCCACAGGAGTGAAAATGTGTTTAATGACTGCACGGATGGCGTAGTGGTTTAGGCGGTCGCCACGCCGCTTCCTACTACACCGAGTGTTGTGGGTTCAAACCCCACATGGGAAGACACTTTGTGTGATCCAAAATTGTTGTTCTGAGTCTGGGTGTTCTTTGTGTCCGTTTTAAGTATGTTTGTAAAGTCCCCCGCGACACAGGATACATTCCTAATGCGGGAGCTGTCTTTAAAAAAAAAACAAATATGGCTATTTCTAATATATATAATGATGGAAAGGTTAATATTCTAAGGGACCTAAACATTGGTTTACAGCTGTCTGTGGTCTTTAAATTGCACAGGGTTCTTATACATCCTTTTTGTGCTTTGAATATCTGATCTCTTGAACTATAATTGCCCCAGAATATAATACCATATCTTAGAACTGATGCAACCAGACCGTACCGAACCGACCGTTTGTTGTTTTCATGGCAATTTTCTAAATAATCATAATATTAGTTATTTATCGCAAAGTTTGGCAGTGTATTTTATTTTTTTAAATACTAGCTGAGACAAGCGGTGTTACCCGCGTTTGTTGTTATAACCGCGGGCAACGCCGCGGGGCGAAGCTAGTCTAAAAAAAGTAGCCTAAGTTACTCCTTATGTCATCAGCTATCTGCCAGTGAAAGTCTCGTCGAAATCGGTCCAGCCGTTCCAGAGATTACCCGGAACAAACAGACAGACAGACAGACAAAAATTGTAAAAAATGTTATTTTGGCATATGTACCGTGTAAACATACATATGCATTTAGTAAAAAGCGGTTATTTTAATATTACAAACAGACACTCCAATTTTATTTATTTGTATAGATTTATATTCTACGATATATTGTAATTAGTTCTCAGCAGCTCTGCCTAGTTTAAAACTAGATGACGTTCTGTCAGATATTATTAATCACATTACAGTCAGCGTTTGGTTAATACTTACTACCAAAATACTTTTACCTGTGATATCGAAAGGTAGAGCGGAATTAAATTTTCAATGCATTTTCATTACGAGAATAAATTGCTAATTGTCACCCGATGAGTCAATCAAATCAAGACATAACAAGCGCGTTGCTGGTCTTTGAAGTGGTAGTTCGCTCTTTTCTTGAAGGTTTGAAGATTTCGGTCCGAAAATATTAAAGCAATATTGTCAATGCGGCGAATCCATAATATGGATACCATTATTGATTTGTCTCGTCGTATTGACTAATAGAGAAAAAGATTAAAATTTTTCTTCCTTCTCATGAATATTTACGCTCCGCGGGCATCGAAACCGCAAATTCTAATGGCCTATCGTTAAGTTTCACAAACAGTGACCTATTTCACAAAATTAAATAGTATTCACACATTATGTGTAAAAGTGGGAATTAAATTTGCGACAAATTTGGTGCATTACAAACTGGGCAGTGGGTTAAATACAAAATCAAAAGGCCAAGAAATTTACATTATATTTTATTATCTTTGTCTTTAATAAAGTAATTACAGGTAGGCACTAAAAAAATAATCATGCATATTGAAGACCATAATACAATAACATATTTCTTAGATACAACAAACACTGCATCCTCTCTTGAGAAATAAAACGGCCAAAGGCCTTAGTGCCGATATGGAAGGTTTATAAAAACATTCGCCGACCATAAACAAGATGGCACCGCGCCTCGAACACATTTGAACAACCTTGAGTATCGTGTCCGAATGGCAAAGATGTTACAACAATTGATTAAATCCCAATGAGTAGTAGCATACACCAAGCGTATTTTCAAACTAGTGGCGGCCCATAAAACCTCCTAACAATTAGACCGTCACTAGGCTGAAATAAAACTTCAACACGAGGCAAAAATAAACAATAAAAGCTTCAATAAAAATGTACATGTCACGCCGTTTCCGTAAAAGGCACGTAATCGTAAAACAAAATGTTTTCCTTTTTAAAAAAGCTATCTTGTTACTTAGTAAAAACTACCAGCTAGTGTATTACAAAACAATTACATACTTTAATTATGAAGCTATGATTTGTGTGCTATTAAACAGTGAACTTTTCGCGAATTCCATTACCAGCTTGTCAGCCCAGTTATTGCTCATATATTTAAGGAATTTAACCCTAAAACTATGGGGAGAATAATATAAATTATAAAGGTTTTTTTAGTAACATTTCATCATTATTTATTTGCACTAAATAAATAGCATATAACATGAATTATCTACTAACGAAAAATATTGTTTACCCCTATATAAAAAAGAAAAATTCAGGTATAAATTACACGGGTACAGTGTGTCTAGCGCCAAAATTAGTAAACTTGTGTGCTTACTATAACCGAAGCATGGTACTTTCTAGTAAAGATTGTGTTAAATTGAATCGTTTCTTTACGTTACGATCATTATTATAATTTTAACTTTATTCGTTCGGACACTAAATATCAATAATTACACAAAGCTATCTACATGAGCCACTCTTAACCGTTTTTGAGTTAGTATTGCCAGATTTAAATTATCTGCCGCAGCCGTAGACAAAGACCGGCCTTTGTGGATTTAAGATTTGATCTAATTTGACAGTATAGTATACATCTGACATCTATTTATTATGTTGGTAAACACCATTGTCTGGGAATGATTCGTTATGATTGCATTTATATCTCCAGCCGAATCTCTCTCTCTCTCTCTCTTTCTCTCTTCGGCTCCGACGTAAACTGGACTTTCTGAAAGAAAAACAGTATATTATTAAAAAACGTTCCAATTCACAATGTTTTCTCGTCTAGACAGTTTGGTACAGACAACAATACAGCCTATGATTCCGACTTCCGAAATTACAAAAAACGTCGAACGCCTTCGCTGTCGTGAGCGAGTTGATGTAGAATTAGCTCACACTAGGCCCTCTAGTGAGTATTTCATAGACCGTCATACCGGCACCGACTCATCCACCCACAAAACAAGCAGGCAAACAATGGTGTTGATAAAACTAAACTAAAAATTGTTCGAAAACTCTCTAAACTAAACTAAAAATCACTAAAAAATTTAGTTTAGTTCTGTCAAATTATGTTTCGTATTCTGAAAACCTAGTACTTGACAAGACTAAACAAATTTTTAGTTTAGTTTAGAGTTTTACAACAACAGAATTAGCACCACTAAATAACTTACAAGTTTAATCAGCAAACTAAATTTCACTGACATCATAATCCAACACTTTTTTAACAAAACAATATTATATTGGCTAATAGTCTTCGTGGCTGTAACTGGAATTGTTATGCAACTGCTGAGTAAGTATTAAAAGATTCATGTCGACTTGCTTCAAGAAATATCAAATTTTGTGAACTAAAGTATCATCTGTCTAGTTTGAAATCTCACGTATATGATCCTTCTGTTAGTTATATTTGAAGTTACTCAAATTTGCCTTGTAATATACATTTTATAATAAACGCAAACAAAAATAACATTACCGTTCATTGATGCAATAAACGGTCAATAAATATACTAAACCTTCAATGACAGGATATGATATGACATCACATCAACAGCCTTTAATAGTCCACTGCTGGACATAAGCCTCTCCTTAGAAAGGAGGTTTTGGCCTACTATACCACGCTGGCCAGACGGGTTGGTATAGGGTTTGTGTCAAGTTTTCCTTCTCTCTGCAGTGCTGTTATTCTGCGTAGTTTTTTCCCTTAGTCGGCTCTTACGACACCCACGGGATGAATAGGGGTGGTAACACTCCATATATATGACATACTGAAGGATATATTAACAGTTTATTTAATTCTAGATCTTAAATTTCTGTAATACCTTTCAGAAATCGATCTTTGGCTAAAACTTTGTGTAAATTAAGGACGGGACTCGAGAAGTTTCGATGTTAAAGCCCCTTTTAACGAAAATTGAGGCTTGTAATACATAGCACGTTATTAACGGGGTTTAAATGATGGCACAGAGATTTGTGTAACATACTATAAACATAAACGGGTCCGGACATTAATCGGCACAGCCTGGTAGTATAATGGAATATATGCAGATGAATGATTGGGAAACACGAACCACGCGGCTACCGCACATAATCAATTTGCTTGGCAACTACCGGCTTATGTCGGTCGGCTTTTAGCGATTAATTTTAGTATTGCTAAGAATGTGGGAGAGACGCGCAACGCCTGATTGAAAACCGACCCCGGAACCCGATCAGCTCCAGACGATATGAACCGAACAAGTGCAGTAATTGACGACCGGATGGCGTAGTGGTTTGTGTAACGTACTGCTATTCCAAAGGTCGCGGGTTCGATTCCCGCTCAAGTCAAACATTTGTGTGCATGAACATTTGATGTTTGATTTGGTCTGGGTGTTTCTATGTATAATATGTATGTATTTACAAAAAAAAAAGTATATATGTATTTATATCAGTTGTCTAGTACCCATAGTACAAGCTCTGCTTAGTTTGGGACTAGATGGCGTTGTGTGTATGTGGTAGAATATTATATTATAATAAAAAAAAAACAAAAAAAAAACATTCGATTTCGAATTATTAAATTGCTTCGAGTCGGATTTCTTGTTCGACAAATACTGCCGAACCGACAATGTCAACCCGATTATGTGCATAGCAACCATGGACGTAGCCAGCCAAAGGCTCAGGGTGGGGCAGAAGTCTAAAATAATATGTAACTAGCAAACTAGACCCGCGGTCGTACCCCAGTTTATTTTTTTTATACAAAAAGGTTACACCCTATAGCATCCTGTATCTGTACTCGAATGTATAATTCGAATTATCCAAAACACTTTCTTATTGCTCACCTACCTACACCACGAAACTTTTTAGGTTTGCTTAGCTACCTTCAGGTCAGAGCCCTGCCCAACCGTGACTACGCCCATGCTAGCAACCCTAAGAGCTTGTATACAAAGTGTTAAGTACTAACTATATATAAGTGTGTGTCTACTGGCAGCACTGCTTGCGCACGTTGTCGGAGTGCGAGGGCCGCACGTCGGTGGGCTCGTCGGGCCGGATCACGTCGCCCTCCGGCGGATCACGCATCTGCTTCTGCGATACGATCCTGTAGATTTCTGTACACAACAAAACGCGCTTGTTAAAGTAAAATGTTATACCAACATTGATAGATGGATAAATTAAAAAGTTGAAGACTTGGCCATATATTTTAATACTCCACTCCACACTGGTTTTCATTACAGTCACACATCATCACATCAACAGCCTATACTAGTCCACTGCTGGACACAGGCCTCTCCTTAGAAAGGAGGTTTTGGCCTACTATACCACGCTGGCCAAACGGGTTGGTATAGGGTTTGTTTCAAGTTTTCCTTCTCTTTGCAGTGCTGTTGTTCTGCTTAGTTTGCTCCCTTAGTCGGCTCTTACGACACCCACGGGATGAATTGGGGTGGTGACAATTTGTATTCTTCATCCGTCACCACACGGACTCATTACAGTACTAACACAAAAGAGCAATGGTTATCCTGACATTGATGTAGATATTTATGACCGAATCCGCAGCGGGGAAATAATTTTACTATAGCTCAATACGATACTGGTATCTTTTATAGCGCAAAGGTTTCCAAAGCGACGTAAATTCGACCATATATTTGCTGCCAAGGTAACAATAACTTGTCCCACGGACTATGTCTTTCAAATAAATTGCCCAATAGAAGAGAGAAAGACTAGCTTTAATAATATCGCAGTCCACTGCTGGACATAGGCCTCTTCCATTGCACGCCACTTCGATCGATTTTGGGCTTCTCGCATTCAGCTCCTGCCAGCCATCTTGCCATAAGCTTACATTATATTAATTTAAGAATTCTCTGGCTCCTAAATAAAGACATCGTCTTCGTTATAATAGCCCTAGTCTACCTCATGCACAATCCCCGACCAAGATAAATCATGAATTAACATCTCTATAGTCCATTCGCGTTAAGAAAATAGTGAGGCATCGATTAAGTCTCGTCCCTTAACCAATCACGTGCCAAGAAATCATCATTTCGTACGAAATCTTGGAACCTGATTGGTCGGGTGACGGGGCTTTTATTGATGCGTCACTATTTTCTGACTGCAGATATTAAACTTCTCTGCACGTCTTTATGAATATATAACGATAAATACGAGCGAGTATTATATCTCTCGGCATTAAATTAAACATTAATCCCATTTTATTAACACGCTTTTATTATTTTCACTTGTAACTATTTAATCTTGGAAGTCAATTTAAATGTAATTGCAAATTATTATCGTAACGTAATGAAATTTTCTATGTATAAGTATTGCAGTGTAGATGAATACAAATAAGATATTAAGCTGAGTTACACTTTGATTTGATAAGGATACTATATTTTGAAATCTTGGAGCTGAAGGCAGTGTAAGTTGTTATCACATCTACTCGATCGTCACGGTCCGCGTTCGGAATTGCGATTGGGCCGCACTGAAATGTTCACCAATCGCAAAGCCAAACGAGCTCGCCTACGAAAGCGAGTTAATGTGAAATAAACTTACACCAGGAAACACACCCTCAGATCTCAGGATTGAACCAGGATGTGGATAATGAAACTCTTTTTATGGTATAGGAGTTAGGGCCACCTGATATGGCCCATGGGCATCGACACCTAGGACTTAAAGAGTCCGAGGAACCACACTCACTTGGAAAAAAAACGTGAGGCCGTGGTATCACACCGGTCAAGCCGATCAATTTGGGTCGAAGTATGTATGGGTCTCCCACGGCTTCTTTTTTTTTATGGAAGAAGGGGCAAACGAGCAGACGGTCACCTGATGGAAAGTGACTACCGCAGCCCATGAACGCCTGCAACTCAGGAGTCACAAGCGTGTTGCCTGCCTTTTTCCTATTTTCTTGAAGATTTGAAAGTAAGACGCAGGACGCTCTATTCTTGGAGGTTTGAAGGTTGTATCGGTCCGGAAATACCGCAGACGATCACTTGTTTGACAAATCGGTTGTGTGAGGCAAAAAGTGTCTTGAAAAGCGCATAGTGGTGGAGTGCTTAACTCAATTGTTGTAACCAAATTTAACGTAAATGTACAAACGGTATTGCACAATGAAAATTATGTCTGGGTCATAACTCGTTCATGTAATAATTGACTCAATAATTACCAGTTAAAATGTTCTGGAATGCAGGCTCGACATTGGTGGAGTCGAGAGCGGATGTTTCAATAAAACTAAGACCGTTTCTTTCCGCGAATGCCTTCGCTTCTTCTGTCGGGATGGATCTGTGAAAACACATACACAAAATTATAACATATTGTAGATATACAACAATATTAAACCAGTTCACATCAACAGCCTTTACTAGTCCACTGCTGGACATAGGCCTCTCCTTAGAAAGGTTTTGGCCTACTATACCACCTGGCCAGACGGGTTGGTTCGTGGTGGACGATAGGGTTTGTGTCAAGTTCTCCTTCTCTTCTTCAACCAGTTATATTTGCATAATTAAATTTGAACATTTATTTAGTAAGTTATTTTAAACATCGGCAAAATAAATAAATGTATTTACCTAGTCTACAGTCGTGACGTTATTACTTAATCTGATAACTTTATTTGGTTCTTTTTTACTTTTTTAATAAGCATTGACAGCCTGGCATTTCTGTTTTGCACGTTTTCATATACCTACTATACAAATTTTATTTTGACGGGTCTGTTGGTATAGTGGTTACTGACCTAAACTGCTAAGACAGAGATCGTGGGTACCATTCATAACGAGGACAAATAATTTTGTGATGGTGATGAGTTCGATCATTTGTTGTGTGTGGATGTAATATATAAGTATGTTTATAACCAGTCTGGTAACCGTACTAAAGGCTCTGCCAGACGGCCGTGTGTGAGATGTTTCAAGTTATATTAGTACAGTCTTTATATTTCTGTCCCTTTGCCAATTTTCTCTCGGATGAATCGAAGACACTGGGACCGCATCCGAACCCATATGTACGACCTGTGATTGGAGACGAGAGACCAATACAACAGAGACATTCACATGCCAGGTTTAAAATTGTTCATTTATGTAATTTTTATTGTAATTTTTATGGTGAAGGGGGACAAACGAGCAGACGGGTCACGTGATGGTCAGCAACTAGTGCATTGCCTCACTCGTACCGCCCCCCCTCCTACCTAGGTAGAACTGCCTTAACACCAGTTTCCTGTGAGGCCGTGGTATCACTACGTACGAACCGGCCTAAAGCATGACTCTCCGACTCCATCGTAAGAGCCACTAAGGAAGCAAACTACGCAGGACAACAGCACTGCAAAAAATAAGGAAAATTTGAAACAAACCCTCTATCAACCCATATGGCTAGCGTGGTATAGTAGCCCAAAACAGCCAGTCTAAGGAGAGGCCTATGTCTAGCAGTGGATTATTAAAGGCTGTTGATGTATGTAATGACGACTCTCCCATGGGAGTAGTAATTACTAATAACATAATCTATTCCGAACAGTTATAATATAGGAGTGTTTACAAACCTGAGGTGCCGAAGATCACTCTTGTTACCGACTAGCATGATCAGTATATTCTGGTCAGCGTGGTCACGCAGCTCGCGCAACCATCTCTCAACGTTCTCGTAAGACAGATGTTTGGCGATGTCGTACACGAGTAAGGCACCGACCGCGCCGCGGTAATACGCCGATGTGATGGCGCGATACCGCTCCTGGCCGGCCGTGTCCCATATCTGGGCTTTTATGGTTTTGCCGTCCACCTGTTAAATAAAACAAGTCCTTTAGAATGTATAAAGAAGTTATAATAAGCCTGTGAGGCTTCTGCGCTTCTGGAAGGAGCTTGGTTGGCTCACTTACCCAACCTGTCCTCGACGCATAAAGGACCTCTCTCGAGTCTAAATGCGGAAACCGGAGCCCACAACCAATACTAATAGGTTATGAGATAGTAAAAGACTATAAATTAGAATTATGACAAATGGGCAACAATTAATTATTTTCGGTACAAAGTTAATTAACGCGACATGAGTTATAAAAATCGTCAAAAACATATATACACAGACACGAGTGTATGTGTGTAAGGTGTGTGCGTTACCAATTTGTATATGGGTTTGTCAATCCATCCACTATACCTGGAGAACACTATTTTAATCAGAATGAAAGTAGACTATATATCCTTTTCTGTATCCTTCCTAGGTTTCATTTCTAAGGAGAGGCCTATGTCCAGCGGTGGACTATTAAAAACTGTTGTTGTGGTAATGTATGGTAATAAAGGATGTGATGTGATGATGATGTAGTCTTGTCTACGTGTGATCCTATGCCTATATTCATTATGACCTCTTGATTCATTTAGGCGTGATAGCATTACAAACCAAACTCACTTTCGCATTTAAAACATTAGTAAAAATTCTTCTGTCAGTGCCTATATTTATCAGTAAACGTAGAAGTCTTGATAAATGCTAAAAATTAATGTGTTTTTCAAGGTCTAACCAAAAATGAACTACGTCTGCCATTGACGCGAGTTGCAAACTCCTTGGCATCCATATTAATGACGTCACTGTACAGCTCAACTCCCCGGTTCAAGGCGACCGTTTCGATCAATGAAGCGGTAGGACGGTCAATAATGGCCAACCTACATACACATGTTGAGTTATGGTTAGGTGATGTGTCTCTGCCCGTTGTTTTAAGTTACACGTATGCGATATACGAAGATGTGACGTCACACATCCGCACATTTTACCGTTTGTTCTACACACGTGAATAGAAGAATTAAAAGGTTAAGGCGCCGATTTATAAATTTTAGCATGATACTTACGCTGTCATACAATTTGATGGTATGTGAATTAATAGCACATGTTAAAGTTTCACACAATTAGCTTTACACTACTTAAATTATACAACTTAGATAATAATTTATACCTTTTATAGACATGTTAATTTTACCAAAATACAGTTATTCAACTTTTCAAGTACTTTAGAAATGGTTTGATCCGTATTTTTTTGTAACTGAAAATCTTAATACTAACTTTTAATAAAATATCAAGTAAGACAAAGCATACATGTCACGGTTTTCGGCCGTTACTAGTTCAAAAAGTAGTAACTGCCTCTGATCAAAAACAGCCACGGAACGACACCAATGTGCTAGTGAAGCTTTGATGGTGAAATTCGTATTATATCTATGGGAGTACTCCATTCCTGTATAAAATGAAAGCCAAAAATAGGACTACCACAGTCTCGAGTTAATGTTATTAGGACTCAGAAGCCAGGAGTATTTACTGTTGCCTCTAAAATCATCGCAACGACCAGTCTCAGACGCCCTTTTCTGAGAACCATGTTATTTCAGGTCCTCTCCGGATCGACGCAGTGCCTATCCAAGCCCTATCCCGAGGGGAGCCGCAGGCTTCCCTCCGCCTACCGGAGCCCAATTATTTTATGTTAATTTTCTATCTTTGTATTTAGTAGTAACTTTACCTTCACTCTGCCGAGCCTTTGCCCAAAACTAGGTTGGGGTCGGATTACAGTCTACTTCGACACGGCTCAACTTCGATTTTGACACCAAAACGACTGACATCAAACCTCCATAATTCAAGTACTAAGCGATATACTAAGAGTGCACGGATGGCGTAGTGGTTTAAGCGGTCGCCAAGCCGCTTACTACTACGCTAAGTGCTGTGGGTCCGATCCCCGCATGGGACTACACTTTGTGTGATCGTTCTGAGTGTGGGTGTTCTTTGTGTCCGTTTCATGTATGTTTGTAAAGTCACCCGCGACACAGGATATACTTATTCCTAAAGCGGGAGTTGTCTTTATAAAACAAATCATAAAATCATATAATTAACTTTCACTAAAGTATATTTTTTAAGCATTTATTGTTATCTGTTCTATTCTGTCACGTTTTAAGTTTATCTGACATCTTGAAGTTAAAGATTCCTTTATATACGTAGACATATATACAGCTACAGACTCTGTCCTAAATAAAAGTATTTATCTCCATGTTTCTGCGGTTATCTCTAAACAGCTCCAGCCACTATTTACACATTTAAGTTTCAGATTTTTTTAGGCAAGGTTTATTTATAGTGTGTAAGTGTTTGACAGCTTTGTCAATAATTTTAGTATAAACAATAGAAAACTTGTTGGAAATCAGTGTAGCGTTATTTAAGTATTATATAATAAAATGTTAATGTTGTATTTATTAAATAACATTAAAAAGTTTTTGAAGAAACGAGGCGTGACGGGCAGTCCGCAACATTTCTCCGACCAGACTGAGCAATCTACATAATTTACCAGTTATTATGTATAATAAATAAATAAATTGTATAAACAATAGACACACTGAATACGTCATAGTGTAAAATTGACGAAAGGAAAAGGGTTTATAAGAATTCCAGTGACAACTTTATATCTCGGTCAGATTTTGACCAGGGTTATTAGGTTATTGCTTTAAGTCCTATTCTGGCGTTCGTGTGCTCACATTTGGCCTTTATACCCAATTTTGATTACAAATAATCGTTTATATAAAAATTATCAAACTGTGTTATAAAAAAATTATCAAGCTGCGACGTATGTATTATCCTATTTCTTTGGGGACCGAATGTAGGTTTTGAGTGTGTGTCACCAAACACAGGAAGACAGTTATGAAAAAGGTTGCGGACTCTTGAACTCTGATGGCAGACCAGAGAGCAGATAAATAACGTGTCTCTTATGTCGTATCTAAAGATTTATCCGTCTAGCTCTACGATTAGTTTTACGAAAAAACAAAGTGGACGAAAAAAAACCTGGACGGTTTACTGCTAACCGAGATAGAATGTAAAAATATTTTACTAACAGACATTAGTAAAAGTAAAGTTATTATGTTATGAAATATCTTGAAAAGCACGTCACGCTATTTTACGATAAAATTATTTTTCTTTTTGAACTTATAGACCCACGCTTTTTTACGTTAAAATTATTTTTCTTTTTGAACTTATAGACCCACGCTTTTTTACGATAAAATTATTTTTCTTTTTGAACTTATAGACCCACGCTTCTTTACGATAAAATTATTTTTCTTTATGAACTTATAGACCCACGCTTTTTTACGATAAAATTATTTTTCTTCTTGAACTTATAGACCCACGATTCTTTACGATAAAATTATTTTTCTTTATGAACTTATAGACCCACGCTTTTTTACGATAAAATTATTTTTCTTCTTGAACTTATAGACCCACGATTCTTTACGATAAAATTATTTTTCTTCTTGAACTTATAGACACGTTTTTTTACGATAAAATTATTTTTCTTTTTAAACTTATACAAAGGTATTTCCTACTTTTTAGTTCTGCTAGCTACAAAGCGTGTTTCTTTTAACTATAATTTATATTTTAGTCATTAATCACGATTATTTTAAGACTAAAAAGTAACAAGTAAGTTCATCGCATATGCGTGTGCGGAAACACGCCTTAATACGTGGCAAAAGACACTACCGTATTTTTAAGTATATAAAAAGCCGTTAATCTTGAAGGTCCTTAAGTGTGAAAAGTTTCTATTTAATTCGACGTTCTGAAGTGGGTCAAAATTACGTTCGATGATTCCATTACATACTCACATACAAACGTCACATAAAAAAGTTAGTTTAAGTTTGTATTTTCGTTCAAATATGCGTAATATCTTAATTTAAATAATAAAACACTACAGGATGGAAAGAAAATATAAATAAAAAACAAAAAATAATAATTAAGAGAACAACGAAGAACCATAACAAAGCGTAGCCGAATTTATGATTAAAACCAGAACTTAACACAATCTGCATGACGAAGTTAAATAATCTCTGAACTTTGCGACTAGCATTTATTTACAATGACGTTACATAGATAAGATTGGACATCAGTCGGAAGAATGACTGCACGGATGGCGTAGTGGTTTAAGCGGTCGCCACGCTGCTTCCTACTACACCGAGTGTTGTGGGTTCAAACCCCACATGGGCCGACACTTTGTGTGATCCACAAATTGTTGTTCTGAGTCTGGGTGTTCTTTGTGTCCGTTTCATGTATGTTTGTAAAGTCCCCCGCGACACAGGATATATTCCTAATGCGGAAGGTGTCTTTAAAAAAATGGATTAAAACTCACAGTCGATTTTTCGGTATGAATAAGATATGTGTCTTCTAGAAAGCTAAGCTATAGGAATTGAAAAGCGTCACTCAGCTAAAGACCTAACAAAGGCTTACTTAGGTCAATAAGAAAAGCAGCTGAACAAAGCAAGGCTACTTCTATTACCGGTATTCTCATCGTTACAAAAAAAAACGTTATAAATACAAAACAAACATATTAATTGATACAGTTTAAATTCATAAAACTAAATATTAGTAAATTACTAGAGGCCTTCAAATCAAGTATATACGTTTTATTTAATTCGTGGATTAATTAACTAATAAGCCTTTTTATGCGTCGGTATATAATAATCCTTTATTCAACTACCAACCCGTCTAAAGGACTCATACGTCACACGGGACACCAGAGCATAGGTACATGGTTACTTTTTCTTCTAATTGTTAATTTTTTTTTAAAAGAAAGTTACTATCTGGTAGGTATAACAAAATGAAAAGAGACAGGAGTTTAAAAAACATAATACTGAATTTACGAATTAAGTTTTGTTTTACTCTATTTGAAGAAAAGAAAGTAAATGTGACTTTAGACAGCAGGTATTTACTATATTCTGTGGGTTTGAGTAAGAATTCAAAAATTATTTAGACAGTTTAAACTATGTATTTTGTTTATATTAGTT